TCGAAGTAAGAAAAAGGAGGAAACTATACAGGATGCTTACTCTCTCTCTGCAAAAAAAGGGAATATCGTATAGCTGGCTATTTCGGAAAGGGTTGAGTTTTAATTGCCAAGATAAAAAATATAAAATTGACTCTGTTCCAAAAGCAGAAAGATTTATGGATCAAATGTTTAATGTAAAAAAAGAAGCAGAAGGAAAAGAATTTAAAAATGGATGTGGAGGAGGAAGAAGAAGAGGAGTCCTACTCACAGGACTCAACAAGCCAAATCTCCTCGTCATCAGAATCATCTGAATCGAAGAAAGGAGCGGCTGCTCCCAAACTGACTCTAAAACTAAAGCATGAGTGCTAAGGTGCTAAGCTAATAACTTTATACTTTTTATAATCGAACTAATATCTGTATAACCAGTACTAATCTATTTTTAAGCTTTTCAGATTGTGATTTGTATTAGTCTTTATCCCTTCCCTTCCCCATATCCAGTAGGAGATTTAGAATAGTAGATTATATGTATCTAGAATTCCCTGACCTATTTCCCATACTAATAGTGATAGGGCATTAGTATTCCTTTCCCCATTCCATATATGTAGTGTGTAGAAAATGCAAAAATAAAAAAATTCCCCTTCGGGGGGCCGAAAAAGAAAAAAGAGCCCTTTCCCTGTATTATCTGTATTACCACTTTCCCTGTATTATGGTAGGTTGCACGCATTCTCCCTGTATTTCTTTTTTATATACGATAAAATTTATTGAAATTTCAGAAAAATCATTAACATTACAAGAATAAAAACTTTCAAAGGAGTATAATAATATACAGATAGAGTAGCAAATTATCCAGATGTTGTGCACTGCAGTGTCAATAACAACAACATTGGTAGCAAGAAAGCTAGAGATAGAAGGTACCATCTATTAACTTAGCTTAAATTTAACATATATAAAGGCTAATACTAGTAGTCATCTGGAATACACTAATAAGCATTACCATAACCAGAGGTCATCAGTTACTTTAGGGATATGTTGTTGGTTGGAGAGGTATTCTAAGATAGGGAACCACGTTGAAACAAAAGTAGTAGGGGCAGGAATTTTATCAAAACACGTAAGATCTGAGAGTTTAGCCATGATATACAAATCCCACAGCTTTTTATGCCATTGTGAAAGTGTGGGTGCCATTGTCGTTTTCCAGTGTGTGGCAATTACAGTTTTGGCCGCAAAAAGCATTAAAGAGACCCTTTCTCTGATGGAGAATGTGGCACAGTTAGCAGCCCAGCCATTCAAAAACAAGTTTTCCGGTGGGAGGGAAATGTTTATGTGAATGAAAGATTTGACTTGATCCAGAACTGCAGTCCAGAAAAAGGATTTATGTGAGCCAGTTTGTGTGGTGTAAAATACCAATGTGATATGATGTTGAAGGATTGTAATTTCATTGACGTGATTTGGGAGTGGAATGGAGGCGAAGACCAAATTTGATTCCAAGAATCTTCTGAGAGAATATGGTTACAGTCTTTGTGCCACATAGTTTGACAAGACAAGGTTGTGTTGCTGTTCATTGATGCCAATACTTTATGTATCTTTGAGATTAGATCTTTTTGAGAAATGCTGGCTATACGAAGAACTGATTCAAATTCAGTGTGTGGTTGTTTTAAGATGGAATGAAGATGGATTTGAAAATACTGTATCCAAGGGATCTTGATTTCCAATTTAGCTTCCAGAGAGACCTTAGGGCGGCAATAGCAGCTGCTTAGATGTGAGGTCCCTCCCTGTATTTCGGATGAGAGGCTGTGAGACAGTGACATGCCTTGGAGGCCAAACCTCTGTGTCCAGGCTTTGGTGCTTTTTTAAAAAAAGGAAAATGCAGGTATGGGAGGAGGGTGTGGGTGTAGTTTCCATGGGGCTTGCAAAATACTGAAGGAAGGGCTTACCTCTCCCTTTCCATTCAGTTAACTCAGTTTGAATGGGCCAGCTCCCACCATCCTCCGCCTGCCCTGTGGTTCATAGAGGGAAATGGGTAGGTAGATATCTTTGTGTCAAAATGTTAGCAGTGTTAACATCAGACATTGGGGGCATGGAGTTAATGAGCCAGGGAAGAGATCTGGGTTCAGATCCCAGTTCAGCTATTAATCTTGGTTGGGTTTAAATTAATAGGCTAGAGACAGATTAATTGCCCGGGAAGCTGTGTATGAAAGGGGTGGTTGGGGTAATTTTCACCAGGAAATAACAGTGAAGACAACAGCCTAGTTCTGCTCGTGTTGTAATAGATGAAGCTGTGCCTCTGTTTCCTCTAAATAATTGAGTCTTTAAGGCGTACAGTTTTTATTTTGGTATGAGGCACAAAAATAAAATTAAGCATCACCAATAAGCCACTTATTCTTTAAAATAACATGGTGGGTTTTTGTTGTTGTTTTGCCATTCCATCCCTCTGGATTTTGTATCTAAATAGTAGCTTAATGCACCATAATAAAGGCTAGATTTCAGTGCAGTAGCACTTTAGAGACCAACAAGATTTGTTCTCCTGCAGACCAGTATGGCTGCCCTCTGAAACTGTCTTTATAATAAATGCTAGTTAATCAGTTGTAATTGATTTCCCCCCTTGTCTTCCATGCTGTCTTGGTACTGCTCAACTGAAATCAGGAGGCGTTATTGTTGGAGAGTTGTGCCTGACAGCTTGTGGTGAGGATAACACAGGACTGATCTTTTGTGCCTGCCTTTGCATATTTTTTTTTGTTAACTCTTATCACCTAACATGAAACATCTAAATTTATTGATCTTGTGGGCTATAAATAAGGTTTAAATCTGCCCTAGTTTGCATATGTTGTAACTAAGAAGATTAAAGCATGTTCTTTCTTTTGACATCATTTTTGGACATTCTTGTCCTAGTAGGCACCATTAATAGAAGAGGCATTCCTTCCTGTGTGAGAAGAGGGTGGAATCTTCTTCTTCTAAGATGGCGCATGTCACAAGAGGTTTTATGGAAGTTTGAGCATTTAAAGATCCAATTTGTTAAAAATCTGTTTCCCTAGTAAATGTATGTATTGCGTATATTACCCAAGCATGACTGGTGAAAGGGAGCAAAGCATGATAGGTTACCCATAGACTCGATGTGATAAGAACCATCCTCCAGTGAAAGAGAACATGGTGCATCTGCACTGGAACAATTGTAAATGCTTCTATGGATGGTGTGGTGATAGTGAAAATTAAACTGTAGTGCGCAGAGTGGCACATCAGGCAATGTTTTGGGAGCATACTAAAATTAGTGCATGAGTAAGCAAGTGCCTTTTGTTGAGTTGTCCTGGTCTTGTGTTAAGTGTTAGTATCAAATCATTAAAACTTTAGTTTCTGAATATAGTATTTAAAATTGTTAATTTTGGGCTGTTTAAGATATTTCCAAGAATGTTCTAACTGGCTGTGTTCACTGAATAGAAGTCTGGTAATAGGCTAAATCAACTCCATTTGTCTTAGTATGTTGGAAAAATTTCCAGTTAAAAGCCTTCCCCCCTCAGAAAACATAATGTTTAACACTGAGAACCTTTTTTTGTGTGGTGGGGAACATCAGATTTGGCTGTGAGGATCTACGTCCAGATTCTGGTCCAGTCATTCAAAACAATCTACCTCTCAAGGCTGTGAGAATAATAAAAGTAAAAACACAAGCATGCACAGTATAAATGGGCTGGATCCTGCAGATCTCTCTTACTAGCGGTGGCACTTTCCTCGAGTGCAAGGAGCTTTTGCCTCATGCAACCAGCTCTGAAAAACTACTTGGGCTGGGTAAAGACTCTTGCTGTTTTGTTTTTTTAAAAAACCCACTGTCATTTAAAAAACCCCACTTCCAGTAACAGAATAGATCCATGAGATCCTACCATTTGTGTCTTTAGTTGTTTTTAGTCTTGGTTTCAGTACACTGATTTATTAATGTATTCTCTCAGTACATTACGGGTTTTCAGAATTTCGTAGTAATCTTTATTAACAGCCCTATAACTTAGGCATTTCTCACATGATACTACAGGGTGTGAAAACCTGGCTTGGCTGAATCCTCCACTGTGAACTTAACTGCTAACACTCTGAACTACTGTATGGCACCACTGGATGAGGTGCAAAAGCTGCTGGGGGATGGTTTGCCTGTTTATATGGTCGCTAGGAAGGTATTTGGGGCAATTTCTTGAAATTCTTGAATATGTAGGAATACTTGATACTGTTGGTGAGAGAATAGTTTGTAACTGTAAAAAAATCCAAATGGCTATGGTATTAGTTGCTGGCCTTGCAAAGGTAGACTGTGTAGAAGAGTTCAGAATAGTGCTGAGAACTTCATATGCGTCATATGAATGGGGGGGTCAAATTTGCCTGGAAACTTTGGTCCTAGTCCCAAATATGTGGGTCAATAGTATTTATGACTATTCAGCGCTGCAAGGAAGGCGCTCTCTGTGCGTTATGTTTGTGGGTTTTTAGTCTGCCATTCTTCTATCGTGACACCTATGGTCAGGGGTCATTCCGTAGAAAAAGAGGTGCAGGAGCGCATTAGCATAACATATTAGCATAACTTATTTGCATATGCCACACCCCATGACATCACCAAAAGTGTCAGAAGGCAACACCCACTGCAACTTACCTATCTGCTTCTTGCTCCTCGTGGCCCCGGGGCAGCGGGGGGCGGGGCTTGTTGCATGTGCCCACCCCCAGGGCTCTTTACTGCCGGAGCTCTGCTCCTGTGCGCTCCTGCAGGAAATGACCCCTGCCTATGGCTATCTCCAGAGGTCTCCCATCCAGGTATTGACCAGAACAAGACATGGATCAAGGTTGTTGTATTTTTTATGCCTTCCAAAAATTACTCCGCGGGCTGAGCTCCTGGAATTTGATCTGGTTGCTTCTCTGAAGTCCTTAACTTCCCAAATTTGGTTTTAACTGTGTTGTATTTTACATTGTTACCCACCCTGAGCCCGCTCGCAGGGAGGGCGGGATATAAATCCAAATAAATAAATAAAGATTCTGTGACTGATCCATTTTTTTTTTGCTTGCAGTGAAAGCGATCGTGCAAACCAGAGTGAGAAAAGAAAAGAGAAAAATGCCAAGCGGGGAGGTGGCAGTCGGTTTGAGCCCTATGCCAGCCCTTCAAAAAGATACCGAGCTTTCATTACTAACATTCCCTTTGACGTGAAGTGGCAGTACCTCAAAGACCTGGTGAAGGAGAAAGGTAAACTGCTCTGGGTGTGCCTCAGTTGTGTTGGTTGTCCTTAACCTGTGATTGGATTTCCCTGTCCAGAAAACAGGAACGTGCCTGAAGTGATTCTGGGTAGACTTAGCCACGTTGAGCACCTAAGGTTTTTTTTTGAGGACAGACCCTTTTGGTGTTGCATGCTAGCTGCTGCGCTCTCGCAGGAACGCATCCTGTGTGTGCAGGTGTGTTTGGCATCGGCTCATCATGCTTCCATAAAGGAGCCTTTTTGTCTCCTGGAAGAGGCGGGACTTCATCGGGGCTTGGTGTGAGGTTTTTCTATTTGAAACCTTTTCATGGGTCAGGACAAGTTGTCCACTTATTGCTGAGGAGGAAAGCTGTAGCTTTTCCAGGTTTAGGCAATTTTGTTTTTGTTGTTGATCATCCGACCAGGACCGTCTGAGAGTGACTTCACAGGAGGATGGATTTATGTTTCTCCCACCCCTTTTGTTTTGCAAAGGGGGATATTGGCAATGGCTAATGGGCTGCAATATGAACATCTCAGGTAAAAGAATCAATAATGCAAAAAATTAGCAACCTTATTTGAGCTTGTTTGGCAGGTAGCCACATCTATTGCACATCTAGCTTTTTTCAGTGATTTTGGGCCAGAATGCTCAAATAGTTTCTAAAAAATTGTGGTCTTCAAAAGCAAAACCACACAGCCAAAACTAACCACTAATTCCTTGGTGGTTTGGTAATTAATTCCAGATCAGATTATTTTTTTAGTTGGGAACAGATACACAACACCTCCATCCTCCTGGTGAACATCTCTTGAAATGTATTCAATGGGAATAAACTTAGGGTCATGTGTTTTGAAAGTTAGGGTCCAATGTGTACCTGTGGTTTAAATTGGAGACTGAGAGCTTGTGAGCCTAAGGAAAGCAAACTTTGGAAGGGTTCACTAGAAGGTTAAATGGGATTGGAATGCACAGCCCCATTCATAATTAAATGTGGTATTACTCAGAATCTTAGCAGAATCTTAACAGATGGTGGGTTTACAATTGAGCTGTCCAGTCCTTCTCCAGTTACAGTTTTGTTGCATTAATTATGAATGGGCCTTATGCTTTGGAACACGTCAATTCTTGACCTACGTCGTGTCAGAAATATTGGTGGATAGAAGTGTCTGTATGCATGGGTGTGTCCCACTGCCAGCACTGCCAGCGCTATGTTGAACTTGTTCCAAGTGTGTTCTGGTCTTTTTCTCCAGCTCACGTGGATGCAAAAGTCCATGAGACTTGTTTTCTTCACTGTTCTGCTCAACTGTTTCTTCCTGCAGGAGGCTCCTAGGAGAAACAGTTAAATCTCTTTTCTCTGCAGGGCTTCTGCAGGGCTTAGTGTATTACAGACAGATGATGTGTTCTTGGGTTTTGTGACTACAGTTGAGATTTGAGTAACTGGTGTCCCTTAAAGCTGTGTTTTCAGCCCTCAAAATTTAGATCTGTTTATTTTTGGCTCCCAAGTCACAATACTTCCAAGAACTAGGACGCGGCTCTAAAAATTGTTAGAGTTCTGGGGTTTTGTATGTAAGAATTACAAGCTCCAGGTTCGGGAGCAAGCAGAACCGTTTTGGAGCAGCAGATAAATTGAGATGACAGACTGCAACTCCATCACTCAACATTCTTGTGATTCTGAAAGCCCTTTATGATAACTTTCCAGAGGTGTCTTGGCACCAGTAAATATGGTTTAGGAGACTTAAGTGTTGTGGTCTGTTCAGATCTCTCAACTGGTGTGTTTGGATGCCCCCCTCTGAAACGTCCAAATGGTGGCCATTCGGTGAAGTAATTTCAGTGTATCATTTGTTGGTGAAACTTAAGTTACAGGTGTGCAGTACATTTTCTCTTTTTTATTCAGATTTCACCAGCATTCTTGATTTCCTTTTTGTAACCAGTCCAAATTGAACCAGGTTAAAGTGGATTCCCATTCTTAGTTGAGAGGCTTTGACAAAACATGGTTGATTAACTTGTACAAATTCCATCATTTGAACACCCAACTCTTCTGAATTGCATTTCATTCTGTCCTCCTGATGTGGATTTACTTGATGTCTGTGTCGTAAGACAGCATTTGATTCAACTTCTTAAACTTCAGGCACCAAAGCCTTTCCTGGAATTGTGTTGTTTGGAGGCTAAGCTGTACTAGTTCTTTATCAAGCAGCAACAAGTGGTGTCCTATTGTCAGGTTCTATAGTCAGATCACACCACACAGCGCTTCATAAGAAGTATTCTGTTTATTGGTAGTTCATAACTATGGCACTTGAACGTTTTTTGTCAGGAACGGCCCAAAGCAGCAGAAAACCCAAAGTTATAGTAGTTTCTAAGCACACACACACACACCATTACAAGCGGAAGCCAATAAGCATTGTGCATGGTACGCGCAGGCGGGAGAAAAGTGAGCGGGCAAAAATAGGAGCCATTTGTTCCCAGCAGGTCAGGAACAGCTGGAACCCCACGGTCAGGAAAGCATACACAGATAACAACCCAGACAGGAGACATCGTTAGTGTACCAGGAAGGAGGATCACTCCCCACACATTCCAAATACATGGCAGTATCCAAATACTATCCAAATATCAGTTGCAAGAGTAGCTAGTTCAGCAAGTCCGTTCTCAAATTGGGACAAGCCAGGTAAATCTCTAGTGTCGTCTTCTCATGCCAGCTTGTGCCCATTTGTAGCTTTCATTTAATATCCTTTAGTGCCTTCGGCTCATCTTACATATAGATCAGGGAGAATATTTGGAAGTGGGAAGAAAGAAGTTTGATGAAATGGCTGGAATGTGAACATATGAAGCTGGCCTTATAAGCGAATCAGACCCTTGTTCCATCGAAGTCAGTACTGTCTGCTCAGATTGGCAGTGGCTCTCCAGGGTCTCAAGCTGAGGTCTTTGACCTCATCTGTGACACCTGATCCTTTTAGCAGGAAATGCTGGGGATTGAACCTGGGATCTTCTGCATACCAAGCAGGTGCTCTGCCACTGAGCCGTAGCCCCTCTCCGATGATAACGCTTGCATGAGAGGGCCAGGTTCACATTCTGGCACAGCTCTGAGATCCGCTAAGTGACTTCTCTTAGCCTGACCGGTATGGTAGGGCTGATGGGATGAAATGAGAAATTTGTGTATATCATTCAGTGGAAGAGCAGTACAGAGTAAGGCCTATTAAGTATAGCAAAATGAAGTGGATTCACTGGGGGAAGTGGATTCACTTGGAGGAAATACAGAATGTGTAGCTTACTTGGGAACACAAAATGGTTAAGCAATCCATGTTATTTTTTAATTTATTAATTTAGACTCTTAGGCCGCCCTTTCCTGCGAGCGGGCCTCAGGGCAGTTTACAAGATAAGACAATAGATAATATAGGGCTGCGGTCACACGGAGCATTAGCCACGCTATAGAGACGGATGATAGGCGCATTTTCCGGGCGCAATCACACTGCAATATCTGGGAAGCGTAGAGCTCCCGTGGGGAACCCAAGGCTTCCCGCCGAAGATGCGGCGTAAAAAACTAGTACCTCCGAGATACTAGTTTCTGGAAACCGTGGGGCAAGGGCTGGCGTCTGATTGTGTTTCCGGTGGTGGCATCCGGCGCCCGCCCATGTCCCTTCGCAAACAGGGCCCCCCCCAAAGTCTCCATGAGATGCGCACAAGCACCCAACGGTGCATGCGCACAAAGAGGAAAGCAAAAGTGCCGTTTCGGCTTTTTAAAAAATGACCCCGTTTGTCACGGCAGCGGCGCCTAGCCATTGCTGGTTTGATCGCGCCGCTTCTTTGCCGCGCCGCGGGATTGTCGTGTTATCGCTACCCTCATTTACCTGCCGGCGCCGAGGGACGGACCCGTGGTGTGCCGCCGACGCATCTGATCGCGTAATTGCGGACCCCCGGTCCATGGCCCCCCCCCCCCCCCCCCCCCGCGATATCCGGCCGTGTGACCGGGGCATGATTAAGTTAAAAACATAATAAAATACCATACAACTTAATAGATAAAAACAGTCAGTTCCAGGATGACAAAAATTTCAAAAGAAAGTGCAGCTTCCCTGTAGCCTCCCGAGGGGGGTAGGTGAGGCGGGGGAGGTACAAGCGTGCCAGATTAGTTGCTGTGTCCCGTCACTGTCCTCAGCCAAAAACCTGGAAGAACACCTTTGCCTTACGAGCCCTGCGGAAAGGTAATAGATCCCGCAGGGCATGAAGGTTCCCTGGCAGAGAGTTCCCCGGGGGGGTGGGTGGAGGACTGAAAAGGACAGCCAGGGACCACCAGGAGGTTTTTACTGCCGGAGTGCAACACTCTGTCTTCCTAATGGAGTGTTGGCTCTGTTTCTGCACAAAGTGACTTTCAGAGTTTGGTCTCCATTCCACAAGGCAGAACATGCTCTCTAGTTTGAATGACAGTGTTGCATGTTTGCTTTCAACAAATCAAATTCAAAACATTTGGCTAAAGCGGACATGAGCAAGTATCCATGCCGACTGTGCATTTCTTGGGGCTGACTGAGCACCAGAGATTCTGGGAAAGCTGAGAATGTGGACATGGCTGGCGTGTGAACATGGGAGGAGGAAATCGAGGCTGTACGTTAGTGCCGTGTTCAAATTTACTGCACACCTGTAATGCCAAGTTGTGGCGGATTAGCAAACGTGGAGTATTCCTGGGCTTTCTAATAAGGCAGAGGCTCCATATAAGGTTGTTGACGACTGTTCTAAATTCCCCTTGTTTTCTTGGCTTTCTCCCTTTGGTCTATGTACCGTCTGGAATCTGATTTATAGTTGGTGAGGTAACATACGTGGAACTCTTAATGGACGCTGAAGGAAAGTCAAGGGTAAGTCTTTGAGAGCATTTCTTCCGTGGATTTTAACTACATGACAAATGTAACTGTATGGTGGTGTTGAACCGAACGAACTTGGGAAAAAAGCGTGTATGTCGAAGTGGTTCTATCGTCGGTGCTGCCCCAAAGCTGCTTGATGGGTGGGCAGGGAGGTGGTGGATGGGGGCTTGGTAGGCCCAGCAGCACCCCCCTGCTGTGCTCATTCGGTGTTGGCTGTACGCATGGGTCCTTGTGTATTTTTCACTGGAATATTAACGTTAAAACACTTAGCTTAAATGTCTCTTGTGGTTCTCGTTTGCTGATCTGGTAAGCTTAGTGTGGAAGAGAGGTTGTATAAATGAAAAAACGATAAAGAGCTGTTGAAGGTGTTAGTGCTTTTCAGTTCAGTGGAAGGATGTTTCAGCATCTTCCCTGAGGGCTGATTGGAACCGAGTGGCTAGGGATATTTGACTTCCTAGAGGCAAGCAGGAGCTATGAGGGTGACATCTCCAGAAGTTAGTCTGTTCTGCACATTGCTCCTTCTGCATAAACCCAGGCCACGTAGCAGTAGCGCACGGAGTTCAGGTAACAACAGTTGTGTCGGTGCTGAGCAGTGAAGTCTTCACCTAATGATCGTAAAAGACTAATTTAAGTATCCTTTTTAGACTATTTAACTTTTTAGTACTGATCTCTTACTAACTTGTTTCCTTTCTCTCCCCCCTTCCCTGCCTCACACCCTGTCCTCGCCGCTCTCCATGAAATTGCTCTCCATGAAATTGCCACGGCATCAGGGCTGCGCGTAAGTAGTTGTCAGTTGCTGCGATTGGGTGGGGCCTGGAAGCCTAAAACTTAGGCTCGTGTGGTGATTTGGCCTTGTTCTCACCCCGCAGCGTTGTTGAGTTCAAAATGGAAGAGAGCATGAAAAAGGCTGTGGAGGTCCTGAACAAGCACAGCCTCAGCGGGAGGCCCCTGAAGGTGAAGGAGGTGAGTGAAGCTTGCTGCAACACAATGCCGGCTGTCACGGACGCTGCCTGAATAAAGGTGGTGAGGGAGGAGTTTGCCCTTCAGGGTTTTAAGTTGACATCACAGGCCTTGTCATTGAAATGGTAGTCTGGTGCTGTCTTTTTTTTTTTTTTTAAACACAGAATTTGTTCCCTACCTTCCACTTTATTTTTTCTTACCTCTCAGGTAACTAAAGTTAACAGTACGTGCGCTGCGGTAGCATAGGGTGCAGCATTTTGCAAGCCTTTCTCAGATATTGGGCGTGCTTGCAATTTTTCTTACAGAAAATAAAGATGTTTATACTTTAAATTCCTCAACTATGTCAGATAGTACAATTTCGTATGCTAAGTTATACATTATTCATTTTGCATTATTGACTGAGTTAAAAGAAGTTTAGGTCTGATTGGAAAGTAAGCAGTGCATGTATTTCAGTTGTTTCCCAAATGTCCTGTTTTTCCCCCCATAGGGGAAAAAGTGAGTTTCCCCCCCATTGCTTCAACATTTTTGGAAATCCTGCATCTCCAGCTGGAACTGTTCTTTGCCTCTAGTCTCCTACAATATCTAGGGAATTTGGGGTATGGAGGAGCTTCTATTATGTGGGGCCCACAGTACCTTGTTCCTCACTTTTTGGGGAAAATCGTGGAATGGGAATAAAAAGAATGGAAGGAAAGCCTCCAGGGGAGGAAGGGAGAAAGAGAAGGAGGAATAAAAGAGAAGGAAGCACTGAAGAGAGAATGGAACCACAAGCTCAGATGCCTCATCCTGATCCTACGGTGGCTGGTGCCGCTGTTCCTTCTATGGAAAATCCTCTTCTCTTGAATGAGAACAACCAGTAACAAGCTCCAACTTTACAAAGGCCACACCCATTTTCTGAAAAGCATGGGCACCATGTTGGGGAAACCTGGTTTACTTCAATCCACCAGGGGCTTCTTGCCACATTGAGAACTTGGCCCATCACTGTAGCCTGTTTTGGGTGGAGGCGGGCATCTCTACTTGCCATCTCAGGATTATTCCTTTACTGGGACTGTCAAAGATTGCAGCGACTTTAGGTATGCCTCATGCTACAGGTCTGCTTCTCTAATCAGAAGGCACACCCCACCCCCGTGCGCGCCGCTTCATCTGTAGGTTCATGCTGTTGTCTGTAGACAGCCAAGCTCTGCATTTGACTCTTCTTGTTTCCCTAAAATATGCCTGTGAACTGGGAGTTGCTTCTGCTGCTTACACCGGTTCTCAAGGAATTGATCCTCAAAACCCTCCCCACAAGTCTTCTCTTTCCCAGAGGGCCTGATCTCTGAATATGATGCTTGTTGTGGTTACAGAGGAAGGGAGAGCTCCTCCCCACTCACATTCTTAGGGGTTTTAGGAAGTTTGCCTCCAGTTCTTTGACCCCTTCAGGATTCTAGATTAAAGCATGTCACAAATCAGCTTAGTCTTTTTTGCAGCTACAGCTACTGTCTGTGTGCAAGGCTTCAGAGAACAAGGGCATGCTTATTTAGTAAAAAGCCTGGCAACCAGCAATGAGCAACTGAGCTTGCTTCTTTCTCTCACATCGGGGTGTGTGTGTCATATTGTTCTGAAAGCAGATTCACGTCTTCTCTTGTAGGATCCTGACGGAGAGCATGTCAGAAGAGCTGTGCAGAAGGCGATGGCAGCGTCAGGTGGTGGGATGGGGATTGGGCCTGGTCCTGGCGGTCCCGGGATGATCAACATCCCTCCCAGCATCCTCAATAACCCCAACATTCCAAATGAGATCATCCATGCCCTGCAGGCCGGGAGACTGGGAAGTACAGTCTTCGTGGCAAATGTAAGTCATTTCTTTATTTACAGGGCCACCAAGACAGCCGACAGGTTAAAAACATACATAATAAGCGCACATCTTAAAAGCCATTAATTCCATTAATTCCCCAAACAACAACACAAAGCCAAGCTAAAAGAGACCCACAAAACCATAAAAGTGACGAACTGTATGGCAGGAAGGAGGGGTCCTTGAGGAAACACCAAATGAAGCAGAGTCTTCGCCCAGTGATAGCAGACAGCAACCAAAGGGGACAGGTGAGTCAGGGGAGAATGCTCTAGAGTTCTGGTACCATGACAGAGGGCCCTCTCCCAGATCACCACTCACGTAATCTCGGAAGGCAGACACCAGAAGCAGGACCTTGGACGATGACCATAGCGTTTAGGTAAGGTTTGTAAAGGAGTAGTTGTTCCTTCAGGTATGCTGGTCCCAAGCCATATAAGTCTTTAGCGGTCAACACTAGCACTTTCAGTTGTGCTCAGAAACAGTTTGGGAGCTAGTGTAGATGGGCCAAGGCTGAAGTGACAGGGTCTCTGTGACTCGCTTCAGTCCATATCCTGGCTACAGCGTTCTGCACCTGTTGAAGCTTCTGAATACCTTTCAGAGGGCAGCCCTCCCCCAGAATGCATTGCAGTAATCTAATCTAGATAGCTGCCAGTTGAGTTGTGACATCTAATGGCCTCCTTGCTAAGTGCTTGCCTGTGTGATACATGTGGAGTTTCTCAGTAGTTTTTTTTTTTTTTTAAATGTCTTCTTGCCCAAATGTCGGATTAGGTGTGGGGAAGTCCAGATAATCTAGTTCCATCACTAGAGCTAAATTGCCTTCACTATAAGTCACTTGCACAACTATAGATAGAATTCAGCTGTTGTTGGGAGTCATTGCTTTGGTTTTGAGATCTGTGCTCATTGCTGAGTCCTGGCTGTCTTTTAGGCTCTAAACAGACAAGACCCTAAATGGAAATTCTCTTAGTGATACATCAGAAAGCAGTAATGTGGGGTAAGATGCACCTGTTGGGATCCCTGCATGTGCCCTTGCATTCCGAGACTGGGGGGATTGACTAGAGAGAGGGCATTTTCTGTTGTAGCATCCCAGTTACAGATATTCCTTTCCACTCAGATTCATCCAGTACTTGCACTGTCACCTTCTGGGTCTGTGAAGAATGTCCTGTTCTCTGGGCTTTTAACAGCTATAGAATGGTTTCTGCCACTGATTTTATGTGTGTTGAATGGCTGGTTCTGTTAAGTGTTTTACTGTGCTAGCCTCTGTTATTGTGGTGGGTGACTGCTGCCTTTTAGTTTATTTTAATGCAAAGGTGGCATTAAAATCCTTAAAAGAAATAATGTGTTGCTCTGACCTGGATAACCCAGGCAAGCTCGATCTCATCAGCTAAGCAGGGTTAACTCTGGCAAGTACTTGCAATGAGAGACTTCCAAGGAATACCAGCAGTCAGGAGGTGGGGGCAGGCTTTATTCAGCCACCTCTCTGAATATTCTCCAGCTTCCAGTAGGGGTCAGTCACCAGAGGTCACCATGACTTCCAGGTACACACACACACGCACGCACATATAAAAATACAACAAAGAGAGAAGAAATGTATTCAGCCCTCAAATGGGTTATGCCTCATCCTCAAGGACCAGCACTGTTTTGCTTAAAAGGAAAAATAGGAGTAGGGTGAGAAGAACACATGCTTCACATTTTTAAGAAGTTAGTTTGATGCTTCTAGTTGGACCTTAAAGCTAGTTGTAGAAGATTGACTGCTGTTGCCCTAGATGACATAGGCAGTTACTTCTGAATTGAACCTGGCACCCTCTGCATGCAACGCAGATGCTCTGCCATTGTGAATCACCACCATTCACTACGGAGTTTAGTAAGAACTTTTAGCTAATTTCAGACAGCAGCCTGAACCACCTCTCCTCTCCTCTGGGAAATGTGTCTTAAGGCTAGCTCCCAAAAACAAGGTAATCTAAGAAGATATAACAGGTCAGAGGAACTGCGATCTTTTAGTGAAGGTACTTACATACAAGTCTCTGTGACAAAGAGAAGAGTAGGGTTTTGTACCCCACGTTTCTCTACTTTATGGAGTCTCAGAACAGCTTATAATCACCTTTCCCTTCCTCTCGCGAGGTAGGTGCGGTTGAGAGAGTTCTGAGAGAACTGTGAGTGGCCCAAGGCCACCCAGCAGGCTTCAGGTGGAGGAGTGGGGAATCAGACCCAGTTCTTCAGATTAGAGTCCACCACTCTTAACCGCTACACCATGCTGGCTCATGCAGGATGAAATTGTTCTTTTTCCCTATATGGAACAAAGACCAAGGTCACACTGGCTTGTTCTAATTAGAATAACTTTGTTTGGGAAAACTTGCCTTGAGGATATATGAAATCAAAGCTGGGCTTAGATTCCTGCATGGCCGTGAAAATGTACAGGGTGAGTTTGAGGAAATCAGTTTCTACCTGCTCTACCTCACAGGGTGACTGTGAGGATAAAAGAGGAGGACAGAATCACATATTCCAATCCTAGCTCCTTGGGGAATGGGCACTCCTGTGCATTTACAGCTGCATGTCATGCGGAAATTCGACAGATGAAAATTTTTTAAAGAAAAATAAAAAAATTAAAATGTCATAGATTCAGAACTTCTAAAACACAGCACGTCTTCATCTACTGCACAGTTAACTTGTGGAACATGAAAAACACCCCAGGTCGTCACTGCCACTTAGTGTTCACATGTGAGTTGAACAATATGCAAATTTGGAACTTAAAGAACCCAGCGATTTTTTAAAGATGTTGCAGTGTATAACTTTCTCTGGCTTCTAACACATGTCTGTTTTTCCCTCCCTCTAATCACTGCAGTTGGATTACAAAGTTGGCTGGAAGAAACTAAAGGAAGTGTTCAGCATGGCTGGTGTGGTCGTTCGTGCTGACATCCTGGAAGACAAGGACGGCAAGAGTCGTGGGATTGGCACAGTGACTTTTGAGCAAGCCATTGAAGCTGTTCAAGCCATCTGTATCCTCCTCTGGAGTGTGGCTTAATTCTCACCTTGTTGGTGGAATGGCTTGTTAACTGGGTCAGAATGGACTCTTCCTCTATATCAAAAGTCACTGCTTGTAGAGACTTAGCATGCTGAAGTGCAGGGGTAGGCTTAGAACCCTTTCTTCTGAACTTGTAGATTTTAACTAGGTGTTATATATAGAAATGGGCTGTGGTGGCTCAGTGGTTAAGACTCTGAACTGCAGACTGGAAGTTCGGTAGTTCAGCAGTTCAAGACCCGAGTGCCGCGTGACGGAGTGAGCTCCCCACTCTGGTCCCAGCTCCTGCCAACCTAGCAGTTCGAAAGCAAGAAATTGCAAGTAGATAAATAGGTACCGCTTCGGTGGGAAGGTAACAGAGTTCCGTGTGCCTTTGGCATCTAGTCATGCCAGCCACATGACCACGGAAATGTCTTCGCACAGCGCTGGCTCTTCGGCTTGGAAACGGAGATGAGCACCGCAACCCTAGAGTCAGATTCGACTGGCTTTTGAGCAAGGGAAACCTTTACCTTATTTATATATAGAAATACTTAGTTTTTACTTTTAATAGAGGATTGTTCAGTCATGAGTTCCCATCCTGCTGTCTGAAATGATACAGTCCAGAGATAGATTCTCTTCTCCCCCCTTTCACACAGTGACCGGGTCAAAGCTGTCAGTGGTCTTCTGTGTCTTATTAAGAGTTACGAGGTGCCACTTTCCTGTTTGGCCATCAGCAGATCTGTGCTGTGTGTGTGTGTTTAATAAGCTGGCAAAAGGAAGTGAACAGGCACATGATTAAATTTCTGTTTTGAGGCTGAGAAGATGGGAAATGGGTGTTCCTCAGGCCAAGAGGTTTTAGCCACTATTGGCTAAAAGAGGGAGGTGTACTTGAGCAAAATGAGTCAGTTGGTGTTGGATGCTTTTTGCAATCCTGTACTTTTCCTTGTCTCCATTCTTTCTCTCTGACAGCGTCTTATCATAGAACTCTCTTCCTTTAGATATTCATTTGGCTGCCCCTGGTTTGCGCTATGTAATTCCTCCTGACCTTGTGTGTGTGTATCACACCTACGCCTTGATGTTCTGCTTGACATTGTTGATTTTTTGCCTACTTAAGGAGTTAGCAGTTGTGTTGGTTTTTACTTTGGTTCTTTTCTCATTTAGTCTCGCTTAGCTAGCGTAGGGCTTATGTGGTTCCCCCCACCCCCCTCTCCTTTTGCTTCATATTCTTTGGATTGTGGGCATGCCCACTTTAATCAGCATCTAGTAAAATCAAAAAGTTATGTCTTCAGGTCTCAACTGGGCAAAGTCTTTGTAAGTGATCCTTGACTCCAGTACCCCATAGCTATGTTCAACGGGCAGCTGCTGTTTGATAGACCAATGCATGTCAAGATGGTAAGTATAAGTCTGAAGAGCTTTGGGTAGGGAGTGTTGGGTGGAATCTTACCAGCTGAGGGACTGGGATCCTGCCAATCTGTTCTGACAGTGGAGGGGCTTTTCTTGGCGCAAGGAGCCTTCCATGATGGAAGAGGCTCAAAGGAAAGTATAACTATTAGCAGAATGAATCCGCAGCACCCAAGCCAG